TTCCTGGGAAATAAGACTTCCAGGTTTAGCCACTGTTCTTGGAAAGCAGGAAGCCTAGATTCTGGGCAAAATTAAAAGTAAAAAAACCCCAAACATGACCAGTGGCTATGATCTGTATTAATGTGAAGTTGAATATCACCATACTGGGTCTACTTTTGCTCCCTTTTAAAAGGGGAATCTTTTACACCCAGTGATATTTATATATCTGGGGATGTGAGGTATGAAACTTTCACTCTGAAATGTAACACAACTGCTATATTTCAGAATAAAAAAGTAAAAAAGTTGTTACCTGTTAAATATAAAACCTTTTTATTTTAAGAAACATTATTTATTGCTGCTTTAGAACCTCATTGTGCAACTAGAATCTTACTTACGTTTCTATTTCACACCATTTCTTCTAGTCTTGTTTAAAGTCACACTTGCAAAGACACATGTGATAATTTTGATCATTTATCTCTAAGTCAGGAGTCCAAGCACGCCTCAGGCCAGCAGTGACACAACGCACTGATATGTCAAGATTTATTCCTGATGCAAATGTATGATCCCACTCTAATGGTCAAATGTCCACATTACAAGAAATACCATTATAACTGCCAAATGTTTCAGACTCAGCCTCAGGGACTCCAGATGCAGTCACCTCACATACACCCCAAAATCACAGTTAAGGCTCCTCTGGGAATCCAGAGGTGCAAGAGCATTTCTCTTGATGTTTCACTACTGCAGACACACCACTACCTCCACACCTCGTCTATCAGCATCTATCATATGATCTTTAAATGGAAATATAAAGTTCTGCCTTTCATAGCATCTACCTTTTCTCACATTAGCTTGTGAAGGTTTCTAATGTCTCCCAAGATACCATTTCTATCTGTTTCTCCTAAGATCCCTATCTTGGCAATAGGATTTCTTCCAGGTAGTCATAAAATCTTGCTGTCAGTCCTCCTGCCAGCCCAAGGATCTTTAACTCAGCACAGCCAGCAGTGTTTCAGATTTCCATTTTTTACACTCTTCAGTAAACCTGCCTCCTGCAGACTTTTGCTTCTAATGTTTGTTTACTCACAGCTTATAAACAGCTTTGGTCTGATTCACAGTTCCCCTAAGACTGGTTCACACTGGAAGGTAAAGAGAAGCTAAAGTGCCAGAGGCCCTGAGCATAACTGAGAATTCAGGATTCCATTAGAGTATCCTTTGAGTCAGAGCTTTCCTGCTTAGCTGTCTGATGGAACAATATTGTCGCGTAACATAAGTTCACATTTAACAACAACATTTCCAAAGGTCTAGCAACCCTACTCTCCAACAGATGATGTTCATTACCACAGCAAAAATCTATGTACTGCTTTCATCTAGTACATCTTCTCCAGACCCATTTTCTTCCACAGAAGTGATTTCTGGGCATAGCTAGAGTACATGCATTAGTATGATTTATTTTCAGAAAATATATCACTCATTATGGTCATAGCAGCCAGGATAAACCTCCAGAAATATTTTTAGTTGTCAGAAATAAGCATATTTTAAGGAGAGGAGAAGAGGGAGAGTGGGAGGAAGAATGGAAGCTTAAAAACAATACAGTGTCTGCTGCTTCCAGTATTATATAGTCTGTGTTTCATTTTAAACTGGAGTTAATAAGAATTAGGAAGAATCACTTAATTTTAATAATTAAACAGTGTACACATCATTATTGTTCTTGTCCTTGTAAGGCTTTTCATGCCACTCCAGCAGGCTGTTTGTGCTGAGGAGGACAGGATTGTAACATAATGATGGTATGTAATTCTTCATTTTCTTTTTGGCTCTGATGTTTTTTTCATAAGTGTTATGGACTGTGTTACTGCATTCATTTGATTTTATTCTTGCCATGTTGATAAGGGAGGAAATGAGACCTACAGACACCCACCTTTGAGGGCAGAACTCTCCCTGAACTGGAGTATTTCCTTCCGTAGCCACTCCCCTCTTCATATGTGCCAGTGGAAAACTTCTTATAAACAAACTTCTGAGTTGCGGGTTAGTGTTTTGGTTTGTTTCTTTGGTGGTTTTGTTTGTTTGGTTTTTAATTTATAGAGGCAGAATTTCAATCAAATGGCACTTAACCAGCAAAGAGACATCAGAATAATTTAAGGGTCTGCTTCAGCTACTGTTCTTTTAAGCAAAACTTCCCCTCACATGTGGTTGACAGGCTATCTTAATCCTTGGTTTGTAGGTATAACCTTCCATCTCAGTTTGTTAAGCCAGCAAGCAGCTTTTGACCTGGTTTCCCTTCTTTGTTGGAGGTAGGCGTTACAGTAACATGATACAGCAACTACATTTTTAAAAACAAAATCCAAGGTCAGATGGCTGTCACCCAAGGTCAGAAAGAAAGAGATTCAAATGGTGCTTGACCACCAAGGAAGAAAACCTAAGGGTTAAATGTTCAAATTACACAAATCTTGGCAGGAGGGATTTTATTGTTCTTGTGCTGTTTTCACACGGAGCACTGAATATTTCTGTAAGAACTGAACTACTTATATCTTTTAGGGCATGTAATATTTTTGGTAGAGAAATCAGTTGTTTGGAATCTCCAGCCACCCAAATTGGCAGTTTATCTTCATTTTGTCTCATTTCTTAGTCTGCAGACTGAACTTTAACACATGCAGTCAGTCAGTGCAACAAGAAACACAAAACAACGCAGCAAGGATCTCTTGAGGTCAATAGAGCAAAAAATCTCTGCAAGAAGGTTGCCAAGAAATTAACAACACCAGAAGAAAAGAAGCAACACAGCCGAGTGCTCTCACAAGTAGCCTAGCAGAGCAAGATATTTAGACCCCAGGAGTCTACACAAATAAAAATTAATTTACATATAAGTGCTTAAATGAAACTAAGCCTCAAACAGATAACTAGGATCTTCTCTTGATCTTTGGAGGTAACATGCAACCTGTATAAGGTGGAGAGGTAGTTAAAAATCTGGAGACTAACTATAAACCCATTTGGTTTAGCAGCACAAACTAGAAAAGAAGTAGGCTGAAAACACCAAGCAGTAGAAAGTGACAAAAGCATGATAAACCAAAGCAAGTTCCTACAAGCACTTTTCAGAAGACAGTGAGCAAGGAGCCTAAAATGAGTTCCTTTGGCCTGGGGAGATGTAGGGGGAGATTCAATGATTCCAGTGCTTTTCTTCCAAACACGGTCCCCACAGCTGAGCGGAAACAGTTTGAATCCTACCCTCCTGTATGATGGATAGTCCCTCAGCAGACAGGATGGCTTGCCTGAGGCCAGGCAGTCTGTGCCACTAAATGGGAAGCAATCTGTTGAACGGGGTGAGAACAAGTAGAAATAACTCTCTTGCTATGAAAAGTGGCAATTGAAAGGAGACATGTGAGAGGTCCATTAAATTTGATGTAGTGACTATTCATTATTCTTCACAGGATGGGAAGTAAGAGACACAGGTGGCATAACCAAGGTCCAGGTTTAGAAGGAAATAAAAGGCAGACCTTTGTCCTCAGTGCAGCAAGTGACACCATGGAACTTGTTGCCACAAGATGGTGGGGCTGCCATCAGAACTGAAAAAGAGATCAGACTGATGCAAAGAGAATAGGGCACATTGACCTGGATGCTTCACCTAAAGTGATGATTTTCAGAAGCTGGAAAAACAGCTGAAAAAGTTTGTGGGGTTCCCCTACCCCACCCAAGCATTCCCTGCTGCTTTCTGCTGGAGCGCATAATTCAGGATACAGACTTAAAAAGTTCTTTCATACAACCCAATATTACAGTTTTTCTGTGTTCTTGGCTATCTTATTTGTGAACTAATATCTCAATTTCATTAGTTCTTTATACAGGTAGAAATTATTCTGAATATCTAAATAACTGCAAAACATGGCTGACTGGTTTGCATTACTTGCAAAGCCTACTCTCAGGAATGTTCATTGTTTGAGAATATAAGATTATAAGGTCAGGGAAAGTGGTGTATCTAGAAAGTAACTACCAATAAGAGGATAAGAAAATACCAACTAACAAATATTTAACCATGTGCCATGTACAGCAAATCTCTTTCTGACCCCAACTAGTGATCAGCTTATATATGCGGTTTATGCAGTAGCTGCTACATTGCAATTTTAAAGTAGTCAATATAACTACAAAAAACATCGTTGGGTATGAGCTACTGCAGGGTGCCCAAAATGCAATTTGCAGATCAAGAAGCTTTCCCACTGTCTTATGAAGCTGATGTATCTTCATTTTGAGACACCAAATCAATGTACAATCCAGCTGAAATAGTTTATCAAGGTAGGGTCTGATGTGCAAAGATATTGTTTAAAAACAAATGGAAAGACTGGTCTACGAACCCATGGTAGACACAAGTGCAATGGAAAACTTACATAGCATCTCACTGTAAGGAAAAGGACCCAGAATATTCAAGGTATGAAGCAAGATGTGTAATCCAGGACTATCAGCAGATTTTTAGCTAGAGTTGGTTTCAGTTCTGAAACCAAAATGAATAATTCTCTTTTTTTATTATAGTTTAATCACCAGGAAAGATTAAGCATGTTGTTTTAAAATGCAGTCTAACAGGCTATTTTGGGAATCTGCCCATATCTAGTCTATAAACAAATCTGGTACACTCAAAAGCTTCAAAAGGGTGTTTTTACTCTCAATGCATTCACTTAGTTAGAGCCCAGGAAGCACATATCTTAGAGGAAAATGAAGGAAGTAATATCTTTCCAACAGATCCTGACCTGTGTCTACATATTTTCAGGGTATTGTAAGAAGCTGCCCTTACAAAGCCAAATACTGACCTTTTAATCTCCCACAACTTCCCAGGAGGAAAAGAGCTTCTCTCTGCTTTAATAATGGTCAGAGCTGTCACTCTCCCCCGCAAAAGGAGCAAGCACAGCAAAAAAAACCAAGCAAACATTCACTGCTTACTATGAGTTTTTTTATATTTGAGTCCTCTGTTCCTGCGATGCCTCCATAAACAAATTCCTCACAGAAGCAGGCACAGGGAATGGGTCTGGCAGTGTGAGATTTTGACTTACATATGCTGTGAAGCGTTGGGGTAGAGCTCTGAGAACTGTGGTGCAGAATCCTCAGGGCCATGGGGTGCAGCATGGCTGATGACCATCATTATGGGCCTATGGGGATATATCCTCTTAGACATTCTGAAGTAATTAATGCTCTCATTAGTGATTAGGTCTGTGAAGTAGTCCTGGAACACACGATTAACACAAAGCAAAAGTTACAAAGTGCATGATTAATTAGATCACATACTATCATGTTATTATGTTATTTTCAAGTCCTCATTAAAGTTCAGATCAGGAAGTAAAAGCATACCATCAAAGAGATGTATGATTTGAGGGAGCATAGGGGAGACTGAGTAGTAATTACTTTCTTAAGCAGGCAATGCCACATAAAATGAGACAGTATTTTGCAAATCAGATACAAGAGAAAGCATTAAGTAAATTTGATTACCAGATTTTGTTATATAATGCCAAGTAACATTTAAAGTGGCAGACTGTACTGACAACGATATGTTTCTTGAATTTCATTGATAAAACACTTTACAAGGTAATGGCTCCCAACTAACATTGACTCTTATGCTGGTTTTATGTTTACATAAACCTCTCTTGCACAGTCTTTGTTCAGACTCTACTTTCACATCTGTACAAAGTGGAACAGATTGCAAAAAATCTTTATCAAAGAAATTGCAAATGAGAATGCAGGGTGCAGTTGAATTCCTGCGGGCTCTGTTCATTTAATTGTGCAACTTTAAGCAGTGCAGCTGCTGAGATTAAGGTTGTGACTTGCTAATAAACTGGCTTAACCTACAGCCAAGGTGGCAAATGGAAGCCTACAAGGGGAAGGGAGGAAATGGAACTAAGAAAAAAAGATGAAAACTTAAATTAAACCACCTGCCACCTTAGAGTATTCACTGTTGGCCTGGAGGTCTAGTGCGAGCTTCATTGAGAAAGTGCTGAGACAATGTTTGTAATTTCAAGCACTTCCAGGCATGACTAATCTTATGTTGTGGATTCGAGGCCCCAAACAGCTGCAAAAGCAGAGCCTGAGGGACAAGGTCTGTGTCGCATGTCAGTGCTAGGACAAGCCAACCAGCTGTGACCTCCTCGCTCGCCCGCTCCCTGTCCCCCTGCCCCTTCCCCTCTCCTCTAGCAAACTTGGAGTGCACACAGTAGCCCTGGCTGCTACAGACTCTGCAAGCATATGGAAGAGACAGTGAGTGATATTTTAGTTTCCAAAATGGATAATGAGTGTGAGGCACCAGGGTTGTGATAATTTTGGGGTTTGTGGCCTGTTCAAGTGAAATGCCTATACGACTGGTCTCCCAAAGCATCTGATCCCCTTCTGCTTCCCTATTTATTCTAGCTGCATACACTGTGTGTGTAAGGAATGTATAACTAACCAATACTCTTTCTTTTCTTTTTTTTTCTCTCTATAAATATATAATCAGTATCATGTAATTTCTATGGATGGGAAAATCAGAAACAGGCATTGAGAGCTTCCAATAAAATCTCATTACATGGGTCAGAAACCACAGCTGCAACATCTGTATCATCTTCCTTGAGCTAGTCTGAGGAAATTCCAGATTGCTTTCTGCAGGCTGGAAAGTCTGAGATCTGTGCTCCTAACCCTTTCCGAGAAACTTCATGGCAGTGGGCAGGTCACCTTGGCATACTTTCCACACTTTGTCAAGAGCATAAACAAGCTCTGAACTTTTCCAGTGGCTGTGTTCTTGCGCTTATCTATTCTCATAGTCATATCCGGAGTCTGACACCAGACTTTCTTTGGTGTGCACTGTATAATGGAGAAGAACATTAACTAAGGTTTCTCCTGTGGGTAGTGACAACGCTCAGCAACTTTAAAGTTCAGTGGCACAAGGGGCACAATTATTTTGGGTAAAGGCTTCTATTTACTGTTTGCTCCTGCCACCAAACCATCACTCTCTGGGAGAGAGGGAGGGAGAGTGGGAAGGAGGGAGGGAAAAATCACCAGACTCCACTGAAGAGCCCTGGGAAACTTTCTTCTGTTGAGTGATTAATATTCTCACATGGAAATTGATCTGCAATGCCCTGGAGAGAAAATGACATCTCAATTTCGTGGCTGTAGTTGGTTAAGTAATTAATTACCTGGTTAATTAATTATCTGAAAGCTATTTTTATATGGATTAATCATGCGGCATTTATGTGTCTGGAAAATACCTTTGCATAATCAAATCCATGCTTCTCTTTGTTACCATTGCGAGAAATGGTGTAATTATAGAAGCGAGAGTTCTTCACTAATCCAACCCACTCTCTCCACCCAGGAGGGATGTAGCTGCCATTGTATTCATTGAGGTATTTCCCAAAAAAAGCTGTGAAGTAAAAGAAAAAAAAGAACACACACACACACATGAGGCTTTGCAATCCAAGTCCTTTAGTCTGAGTCAAAAGAATGCGTGAATGAAGAGAAAATGTGTTAGAATGAGTCAGAGTTGCTTTACCAAAAATCTTCCATTTATAGCTTAGAGGGTTTTGAAATTAAAATAAGTTATTTCCAGAATTTTATGAGACTTGAAAGCCTTCGTGACTCTACGCTTTATTCCTAATCTTTTAGAATCTGGTGCTCATGTGAAATGTTTTCAGGATTGCTGTTTTTTTTTTTTAGAAAGAGTATGTTGCCCTTGGTTTCCACTTGAATATGGAATAAAAACCCAGTGCCCAGGAGGATATATCTGAGAAAGATCTTGTGGTTTTAAGGAAGTTCTGTGATGTTTGAAGCTTGGCTTCTGACTTGAAAGTTTAGGCTTGCTCTCCTGGCTACATTTGCTAGTTTGATAAAAGGTTTGAAAAGTGCAGATCTCTATCCCACTGTGACACATTTGGGTAGAGCAAGAGAGAATGCCCACCCTGCTTTGCTGCCTCATCTTCTCTAAGGCAAAACTAACAGAGACAAAGGCTTGGAGGTCAAGCACCTCTACCTGGCCTGCCAAACTGTGTATTTTTTTCCATGGGGTGGCAAGTCAGAACTCACTCAGACTAAAAATTTCACCCTTTGTGGCTGGGCCCAGGAGGGTGCTCCTGCCAATTCCTCTGGAAGGAAGTAAGAAGAAAAGCAATCTCACAATGCAGAGGGCTCCCAGCTATCTGGAAGTGTGGATTGCCTATGCCAAAGATACACAGACACCAAAAACCAGCCAACTGGCTTTGGGACAGAGCATTAATGTTGGCATGGAACACTGGCAAATGGAGCCATGTTGCTTCTAGGGAGAGATGGGTATGGAAGGTCTCTAGCTGCCTATGTATGGTCTGTGGCCTGAATAGAATATTCAGTTCAGATGGCTCTGCCCTGCTTTTCCGCTGCCTGGGAAGTGCGGTGACAAAACACTGGATCAGGTCTGCAACTTGGATTTTTAAGGATTTATTATCTCCAGCTCTGTCCCAGCAAGTTACTCTGTGGGTGTCTCAGTAACTTCATTGTTTTCACCTTTAATTATCCTGAGGTTTACAAGACCCTAGAGGGTCACCTGTGCCGGCAGTTCTGCTGCCTTTGTCTTCAGCAGTCTGCACACTGATACTCCAGGTGCTTGCAAAAGAAGGGGAGGGAATGACAGAGACCTCCCCCTTTACAGGGACAGAGCTCCTCTGGGTAAGAGCTGCCTCCCTACCCTGGGAGCAGCCAGGACTACCTGCAAAGAGCTGCTGCCCAGACCTGCTGTCCCTCAGCTGGGCGGTGGGACACACCTCAAACTCCTGTACTTGTTTCCTACTAGGAAATGAAGTCACACTGGGAAACCTCATGTCCAACCTAGACACATTCAATCTAACCAAAAGAGCACATTTGTGGAAGGCCTTAAATTATTCAGATCTGATTGATGTGGGCATGGGGAACTTCTTGGGAAAACTGGTGGAAAAATCAAAATGTTCATAATTAAGACTTGCATGAGGCAACATAAATATGATGCAGTCCAATTGTGGAACTGCCAAGCATCACTAACCAGAGATTACAGTCATATATAATTTTACTTTCCTATACCACGTGGAATGTGACATATAAACAAGTCCTACAGACACTAGACCAGGCTTCCAGCTCTTCCTCCCACAGCCAGCAAGAAAGCAATCCAGCCTGTCTCATCTCTTCTCTTGAGGCCAACCAGAAGTCAAGAACTGTGAGGTGAAGAGGGTGACAGTGGGCAGGACATATATGCCCAGTACTGTTTTCTCCTGAAATGGATACCATACCTCTATCTAAGGCAGCCAAACTTTCAGTCAGATGTCATGGGAAAGTATAAGGGTAAAGGCTAAAATACTGTGAGAGGGGAATCTAAGGAAAGAGTAGAAGGGGAAAAGAAGTCAGAGAGAGACAGCAGTGAAGAAAAGTATGGGGGAGTGACTTGACCGAGAGAGAGGAAGCATTGTTGAGCCAAGCAAAATCAAGGACAGTCTGTGGTTACAGGGGAAATCTGAGGTCAGCCCTCCCAAGTGCCATTCCAGATTCACCAGCAGCGAACCTCTGAGTGCCATGCTCATCAGTAGAGTGCTCTACCGCCAACCTGCCTTCCACAAACATCAGAGGCTTTCAGGGTGTGAAATGGGAGTTATGGCAATTTATCACATAAGATGGTTTGGTTGCCCCATCTATTATTAAGATTGACTTATACAGAGACCTGGACTCTGCTATTTACAGTCTTGCCAAACTTCAATCATTAGTGATGATAGTTTCCATGCTATCTGACTCAGGCTGCATTTTGTACTATGGAACCTTTTAGCCAAACAGTTCAGCAATTTCCAAGAAAAAGGCTAGGGAAAAATAAACAGATTTGCCCATTTAAAAATCACTGTCAACCTTTTCTCTAAGAAGTCCTAATGTCTGTAGGTTTTGATGTAGTGCCTTTGTAAATAATGAAAGTGGCTGTGAAAATGTCTCAAAATGACCAAGCTCTGAAAAACTGTAGCACACAGATGATTAGGAAAGTCTTACTCCAGCTTCTCAGTTTAACATCACCATGGGGTGTTCCTTTATAGACCTGAGAAGGTTCCCACAGTTTCAATTTTGGCACTAACACAAAAAGCCATCAGCTTCTTTCTCTCCTTCTCTCCTCTCTCTTTTGATATTTATTACCTGAGAGAAAACCACCATCATAAAAAGCAGAGATGAAATGACGTGGGGCATAAGGATGAGAACAGATAAACTGAATTTAGAAAAGGAAAGGGTGGCTTGGAGCTGGTGGGGGCCAATTCATCTTGGAATTTCCTTGCTTTAGATGACTTAGTTTTCTAACTTTAGTAATGTTTTGTTAGCTCCCTTTTGGCCCCGTGAACCCCATATTTTGGTGCATGCTATGAGACTGTGGATTGACAGCCTGAACCATTCACCTTTGTGTTGGCAATGATTTACTATTTTATCATAAAAATAATCTCAGTGCTGTCAAGTTTTAAGCAACTCCCTGAATGACAGCTTGTAGAAATAAATATTTCCCCCTGTTGCAGAGTAAATCAGTTCCCATGTCAAATGTGTAGCAAAGCCCTGAATACAAGCAGAAGCTCCAGTGGCTGTGGTAATGGATGGCATTTGCCAAACTGCTTTAACCAAAGCTGGTTTGTTGGTCAAAAGCTCAGGAGGATATGAGTAATTATACAGATGAAGGGAAAAGCCAGGCTTTTACTGAAATACAAGAGTTCAGTCCCTGCACCATGCGGTTTTCTGAGTACCACTGAGTATAGGATAGAGGGAGTGAGTCAGATCTGGGGCCCTGCGCCAGCACTTAGTGTCTGGTTCTTCATACTCTGAATGAAGACAAGTGTCAGAGTAAAAGGAAAGCATAGTAGTGTCCATGGGGCCAAACAAAAATCAGTAAATAATTAGGATGGGTCTCCTAGTTGTTTTTTGTTTAACCAGAGGACTGTAAACAATGAAAACACTATGGAATATGCCATAGAACCGCCCAGGAACTGACACTGTGATGTGCAAATGCTGGGTCTTCACATGCTTGGCTTGTCGAGTCAAACCCCATCCTTAACTCAGGTGTAGTCCAACACCTGCTGAATTGCCCGAGTCTGAGTACTGACTGGGAAGGTTAAACTTTAAAAGCTGCTCATACTCAGTAGTTAGAGGGTTTAGAAAGCCACTTCTGCTTGTAATTAGTAAAATGGAGATTATGACTCAATAGGTAAAAGCCTCATTAAAAAGTAATGCCATTTCAAGGGACATCTTTTCATTATTGCACATAATGGCCCCCATAGGGATAACAGGAAAGATAAATGCCCGCTTTTGCATTTTAATAACACAATTTTTATCTGCATTCTGGCAGTTTTGCTAACTGTTCCCAGGACACATTGTTATTTTTTAATCACATGTAGTGTAGCTTAATATATCAGAGTAATTGTATTCTGTATGAGTATGTTCAATTAAGTTTATGCAAACAACAACACATGGCATGGTGTACAGACATCTATGTATCTCTGGAGGAGCTGTAGAATATAAGTACAAATACTTAAATAAATGCCTTAATACAAATTTTTGGTTTCCATGTAGCAATTAACTAATGATTTCTGAACTCAACTGAGAGACCCAAGTGCTTGCAATGAGTGCAGGACAAAGAGAATTTGACCCAGGGGATCTCTGGAGTTTGAAGCCAGAATACTTACAGCTGAATGTCATTCAAATTCTCATAATTCCTAGGACATTTTTCCCCAGCATTTTTTACAAGCAATTATGACTAATGTTTACAGTATTACACAATAGGGTTAGTCCTCTAACTCCTGTCAGCATTACTGGATTAGTGTACAGGTGAACTGGGCTACATCTACTAGTGGGACATCTCTGCACTTCCATGGATCAAAGGATGTATGTTTTACCCTATAACCCTGTTATTTGTTGAGGCTTATGGGAATGTTTCCGATTTAAAACAAACCCAAACCTTTAAAAAGGCATGCTGTAGAAAGGTTTAGTCACTGTGACCCAGACAAGAGCTTTAAGTAGACAGCCCACTTCCTTTAACAAAGTCAGGAAACCATTTACAGGAGTTGCAAAGCACTGTTTATATGACATTTCAGGTCTGACACACAGTGATTCTGTGCTTCTGGGGACAGAGTCCAGCATTCCTTCAACTTCCAGATTATTCCAGTAAATTCGTCCTTACTTTCTTCCCATTATGCAAGCCACAGATTCAAACTCGAGAAGTTTGATTTTTCCCTTCTGTTGAAAAATTGCAGAGGATTAGTGTATCACATCATGGAGGTGCAGAAAGCCAGCTTAGTATGCCAGCACCACCTAGGAAATGAAATAAACATTGTCCCAAAAAAATATGGTGAGGAAACTGAGGCACCAAGAGGTTAACCTTCCGCTAGACCTAAGTCATGAAGGAAGCCTGTG